GAAATTACTAAAGTAGTCAAACCTGTTCATTAGAAGGGGGTGTCCCAATACTTTTGGCAATATAGTGTACAAGCCAACCTAGTTATTCAAAATCTTGGTCTGCAATTTAATAATATTGACCGATTACTTTTGCTATTGCTTTTGACCATTAGGTATCAGTAACATAATTCATTCAGAACCTGTTCTATGGACAAAGACTTTCTGTACCACACTATTCTGCTGATATGGAATGAGTTTGACTAAATCAGTTATATTAAAAGAAATGCTCAACTGGGGCAAACAAAAAAAAATCCTAAAATAATAAATAGGTCACCCCATAGCAGCATTTCCAGCAGTATCCAACATTTCTCAATCATGATCTTACTCAGCTAAATGTGACTATTAGCTTAACAGCTGTATTCCTTGTTTGCTAGCTACCTATGCACATACAGCATACGTTCTTTAACCTTGCCTTATACACAGAGGCATTGTCATGTTAGAATAGAAAAGGGTCCTGTCCAAACTATTGTTATACAATTAGAAGCACACAATTCCCTAGAATATCATTATACGCTTAAGATTTGTACTCATGGAAATGACAAAAGTAGTCAAACCTGTTCATTAGAAGGGGGTGTCCCAATACTTTTGGCAATATAGTGTACAAGCCAAACTAGCTATTCAAAATCTTTGTCTGCAATTTAATAATATTGACCAATTACTTTTGCTATTGCTTTTGACCATTATGTATCAGTAACATAATTCATTCAGAACCTTTTCTATGGACATAGACTTTCTGTACCACACTATTCTGCTGATATGGAATGAGTTTGACTACTTAATCAGTTATATTAATAGAAATGCTTCACTGGGGCAAACAAAAAAATCCTAAAATAATAAATAGGATACCCTACACTCTTAAAAATAAAGGTGCTTCACGATGCCATAGAAGAACCTTTTTGTCTAAATGGTTCCATAAAAAAGTAGTCAAACCTGTTCATTAGAAGGGGGTGTCCCAATACTTTTGGCAATATAGTGTACAAGCCAACCTAGTTATTCAAAATCTTGGTCTGCAATTTAATAATATTGACCGATTACTTTTGCTATTGCTTTTGACCATTAGGTATCAGTAACATAATTCATTCAGAACCTGTTCTATGGACAAAGACTTTCTGTACCACACTATTCTGCTGATATGGAATGAGTTTGACTAAATCAGTTATATTAAAAGAAATGCTCAACTGGGGCAAACAAAAAAAAATCCTAAAATAATAAATAGGTCACCCCATAGCAGCATTTCCAGCAGTATCCAACATTTCTCAATCATGTTTTACCTACTGTTACCACTAATAAAACAGATTTCTGTGCGTGGGCCCTTAGAATCGTCCTAACTTTCCCCCTCTTAGCGGCACCCCTGACATGACCCATTAAATTCTTATGATATGAAAAAAGGGTTAAAATAGTAATAAATGATCCAAGATTGGACTAAATGAAACTTTTAATGTGGCATTGTATTAATCAATGTATGTAACTCAAGTCTATGCCATTTTTCTGAAGATAACATCCGGAATCTTTTTTTTATTTTTTTTTTATGTTGTTTAAAATGTTTTGCAGTCTCTAAATTCTGACAATTTTTCTCTGTTTTTTTTTTCTCCCACATGCCACACAGAATGTCTTGATTGTGGAGGTAAGAGAGTGTGTGTGTGTGTGTGTGTGTGTGTGTG